AAAAAAAGAAAATTTCTTTTTTTTTTGATTTTTTTTTTTGTTGCGAAATCAATCCGTAAAAGTCAAAAGACTAAAAATCATAGATATAATTTTTGATCCATAAATTAATCTTAAATGTGTGCGAAAAAATGGATCTATAATTTAAATGTTGTAATTTAAATGTTTAAAGTAATTTTTGATATGATCCACGAAGGGATCTAATGAATTATTATTATTTTTTGTTTTTTTGTTTACTTTTTCCTCATAGGTTTGAAATTTTTTCCTTCAACGTATGATTAAAAATCAATTTTTTTTCCAAAGCTACCCTCTCCAAATCCGAAGATGGGCTTGGTTTGTTCGGTCATTTTAGAATCGGTCTTCGCTCTAGAATTTGGAATATCAATCGGATTGCTGGTAGAATATAAGCAAGTGTTGTAATCATCAAAGATGGTATCATCACTATTGTTTTGGTAGCTAATGCCGGTATAACATTTGTCTAGAGTGCAAACGCTAGTAAGAGAGGAAGACAGATTAGACTCAGTATAGGAACTACTGGCCGATGACGGTGGAGAAAGTGCTCTTGCATTGGACTCAGAGGCGTGGTAGATGTTTGGAGTGATAGCAATGCAAAATCTCAAATTCGAAGGAGGACTGTTCGGAGGGCTAAGAGTATTGAGGGCAAGAGTTTTGGCCGAAGGATTTTCTAAATTGGCACATTCTGAACTACAGTATAACGCGTTCGTATCGAATAAGTGCTTGCCACATATATAACACCAGGCGGCATCCATCTTGTAAATTGAGAAGAAGGAAAGTTTCGATATTTTCTAAGAGGTAAACCCGAAGAAAAAAGTAAAATATTGATATCTTTTATTGATTCGAATGTTACTATTTCATTTATTATTAATTCTAAGCTATTAACAAGGTGAAAATTTTGGTTGAAAGCGAATAATAAAGAAATTCCCTTTCGTTATAATGGTTTCTCTTTAATTAAAAAGAGTGTTTTAGTGAAGTAATTCGTCTCTACAACACAGTTTATTTATAGAAAAAATATCTCTAGCCGAAAATTAAACAATTATATAGCACAACTCACAAAATAGTTACTATCATTTTATGTTGTATTTTAATGTATCATGAATAAAAGTAGCCCATTATAATAATTTAATTATTTATATTATAAATACAATAATCTAAATTATAATATATTATATACAGTTTTTTTTGTTTGTATATAATATATTGTATTTCATATGTATATGATGTAAATCGTTACCGTAAATTATCAATACACGATGCGTGAATATTCGGCAAAAAAATAAATCGAAATTCAACTATATATATCGATATTGACTTTATATACACATACATTATTTTTTTATATTATTTATACAGATCCGGGTACCAAAACAATGTATTAAAGTACGTTGAACTTTATATAATTAAAAAAAAAAAACCTGTTATATAGCATTTACTACTGTACAATAAATATGCTGCTTACATTTTTGAGGACTTCCGGCATTTTTTTTTTTTTAAACATCAATTATTTTAATGTGTTGGAGCTTTTTTACAGTTTTTTACGTATAAATTGGTATAAATTGATATATATCTATATACAAAAAATTTGTCTTATGCTAATACATACCCGATATCGTTATTTTCATCAATAATGAATTGGGATAAAAAACGCCGATCATCATAATATTCTATATAATAATATCGTTGTTTAATACATATAAGGCGCTATTTAATATAACGGAGTCCTTGTATATCCTCAATGTCTAAAAAAAACATGTATATTATAGTATTAAAGCAGTATTAAAGTATGTAGTATTAGATAGTATTTGAACAGTATTAAAGAGTAACTAAATTTCATACGTATTAAATTTTGAATTTTTAATTACAAATCTTGTTAATATAAACTGCTCGGCATATACCATATACTTTTTATAAGATAGGCGTAGTGCAAGTTTATAACCCGGGTATAAAGGCTGTAATATTATTATTATTATTATATCGATATATATATTTTATAAATAATTTTTTTTGTTAAACTTGTGCATATCGATATGCAGCATTATCTTCAAGTTATGTGCTTTTTTTTTTATTACATTGCCTATATCGATATCGATATCGATATTATCGTACGTACGTACGTATTTAAACATATCAAATAATAACTAGGTGTGGCTTATGTGAAAAATTCAGTACATTTTTATTCAAAATTTAATCCGACCATCCAATAAACTTTTCATTATTATGTTCAAAAAGTTTTATATTTTTGAACTAAGGAACTGACTTTAAATAGTAGTTACAAATGTTTTCAGCCTTTAAAGCTCGTTTTTTTAGTATTTGTAATTCCGTTAATTAATAATTCATTATTTCTTTTCCGATGTACAAATTTATAAATTTATAATTTATTATAAATTCAATTTAACCTTACATATAGATGAAGGAATTGCCAAGCTAACAGTAACGCTAACAGTAACAAAGAATCATTAATAATTTTAATAATTTTAATAAATACTGGAATAAATATTGAGACTTTTAGTTTCAACATGGCCTCAAGAGACTTCACGATCGATTGGCAAAGGTATCACAAGTACGTACTACGCACTTGAACTACTGTTTTGACCTCTTGCTTGAACTACACACTACTTCATTATACGTAAGTATTTAATTATGGTTTGCATCTTCGGAATTTTTAAAAAGCATGAAAAAAATTAGTTTACTTCTTCGGAACTTATGAGAAGCATGAGAAAATTAGTTGCCTATATGTTTGTTTTTCTTCGAACAAGTCACCGCAGTAAATTGGGGCTAAGACAAAGAAATTTCATCAATAATTAAAATTATATACCTATCAACTGCTACAATAAACAAATAATTAAAAGTACAACATAATTCTTTATTGGATATTACTACCGTTGATATTGCTAGGTACATATGTATTGTTTTCCTAAAGAAAAGGCGAAAAAAGAAAACTTTTCAAGCTATGTAAGCTATGTATGCTATGTATGCAGCATTATTGTGTAATAAAGTCCAATCAAAATCGACATTATGCACGCATATAATGAGTCTACATTATCACTAATAA